AGGAGGAGCAGGAGCAGAAGGAGCAGGAGCAGGGGCAGGAGCAGGAGGAGGCACAGAGAGATGGCTCCGGGTTCGGGTGAAGGGCAAGACCTGGAGTGCAGTTCCCAGCACTGCCAGGGGTGCCCCGGTGGCTGCCAGCAGTACTGGCACCACGCAGCACCACTGCCTCACTGAGCACTGACCCCTCTGGCCCAGCTGGGAGCTGAGGAATGGTCGCTGGATCCCCTGGGCACTGTCTCGCACCCACCCCCACGAAGAAAATTCTCAGCCACTTTCTCGGCGGCCTGGGGAGCGAGGTTAGGCACGGATGCCAGTTCAGGCTGTGGCCAGGGACTGCAAGTTCCAGATATACTGTACGACTTGCTGATAAGAACACCAGCCACGTCCTCACGATCCCCCTCGTGGCATCTGAGTCAAGGAATGTTCCCCAAATGTCTGCTGTCTGCAATGGGCCATGATGGGCTCCCTGTGCCCAGAAAAAAAAAAACCAAAAAAACCTCCAAACTCAGCCCCCTTGGTAACAAGCATGGAAAATGAAAAAAAAATAAATAAAGATGACTGAAATACACAGAAAGACAGTGACCGCCTCTGAGAGGACCGGCAAGGCAAACTAACACAGGTGCGGGACACGGCCAAGAACTACTTATGGCTTCACTCGCAGAGACGAAGAAACCAATTCAACTCACAAGGAACAAGCAGCCAGGCGCCAGTCCTGCCATTCAGTTTGGACGAGGAAGACTGTAAAGACCCAAGAACAGTTCACTCCCAGATCCCTCCTCCTCGTGTCCTTCCTCCTCCACCCCCGGGAGCTGGAACACCCTTCCAGCCAAGCTGGACAGGCGCAGCAGGGCCCCGCAGGGCACAGAGGCGCTAGGCGAGGTGCGGATTTGAAAAGGGCAAGAGTTGTACTGAAACAGAACAGAAAGAGGCAGAGCAGTTTCCCGGCTCTGCGATCGCCTTGCCAGGGCTCAGGGACTGCTGATTACACGGCGCTATCGTGTCAGGAAGAGACAAAGTGGAAACTCGCGGGGTGGAGGGAGGACTTCAGGTCCGTCTGTGAGAGGCAGTAAAACCCTGGGCTATCTCAGTGCTGACAGAGACGGAGAGGGGGGTGGACAGGCCACACCTACAGATACCCTGCCCACCTGCAACAATAATGCCACAGCATCTGCAAGGGGCACCGGCACGGCACGGCATATTCTGCACAGGGTCCCCCAGCTCCCTCACAAACGGAGGCACCCCCTGGAGCAAGGGACATCAATCTGTCCAGTATCCAGGTCAAAAAGGAGATGAGGGGCTGGAGAGATAGCACAGCGGGTAAGGCGTTTGCCTTGCACGCGGCCGACCCTGGTTCGATTCCCAGTATCCCATATGGTTCCCTGAGCACCGCCAGGAGTAACTCCTGAGTGTAGAGCCAGGTGTAACCCCTGTGCATTGCAGGGTGTGACCCAAAAAGCAAAAATAAATAAGCAAATAAATAAATAAAAATTAAAAAATAAAAAAAAGGAGATGGGGGCTGGAGCGATAGCACAGCGGGTAGGGCGTTTGCCTTGCATGCGGCCAACCCGGGTTCGATTCCCAGCATCCCATATGGTCCCCTGAGCACCGCCAGGAGTAACTCCTGAGTGCAGAGCCAGGAGTAATCCCTGTGCATTGCTGGGTATGACCTAAAAAGCTAAATAAATAAATAAATAAAATAAAAAAATAAAAAGGAGATGAAATGAGACTGGAACCCGGTTTCCGGAATCTGAATGCGGGAAGTTTGCCACCACCTCACACAGCCTAAAGCTTGCCGATACTTGTCCTGTAGGTAGCAGTGGAAAGAAAGCACTGCTACCCGATGCCAATCTTTCCAAAGACAGGCTGGCCATGCTCTTAACGAGAAAAGGCTGATGATACTGCCTCGGGTGCTGGCTGGCGTGGGGAAATGGACTGTAAACAGAGAAAACGGGGAAAAAGACATCTCCCAACGACAGGTGGCAACTAGATCTCGGGGGACCGCATCCAGCTGGACTCCCGGTCCCCTTATGGTGGTGGGGCACGCGGCTGGAAGAAGGTCTCTTGCACAAGACTATTGTGTCTGGCCACACACGAAATCGGGCTTGGAGCAATTTCTGTATCCCAACAGTAGAAGCAACGGTGAGAACAACCGTCCTGGCTGCCAGTGTCACCTGAAACTAAAAGCCCCAGTCCACAACCAAAGGCAGAGAACGGCCAAACACACCAGGCTCTGGATTGTCGAATGTCGCTAGGACGTAGCTGCTGTCATTTGCCACTCTCAAAAAGAAAAGAGAAATCCCATGGCATCCGAGGCAGGACCCATGAATTTCCTGGAGGCCTCCCAAGGTCCTACGTGACCACTCCACAGAGATTCATATTCAGCATCCACTCTGGGGGGCGTTGCTGGCCCCGTCCGCTTGTCTTTTCCACATCAGGAAACCGAGGCACGCGGTGGGTCCCGTGCCCAATAGCACCCAGGTCCTAGAAGAGCCGGGAACCCAGTCCAGATGCTGCCCCATGTTGCGCTCCCAACCCCCATCTTCCAAAAAGAACTGAGAAACTAGAAACTAAAGAAAGCAGAACTGCAGAGAGGTCAGGAACAGGGAAGGGGAATTGCTAAAGAATAATGAAAACAACCTCTTCATATTCTCTTATAAAACGGAGGAAAAAACTTTAGGAATACAAACGAACTCTGACTGTTGAGAATCCCTGGGTCACCAACTAATGTCCCCCTCTCGGCACCGAAGACGCTCTGCTTTCCTCCTAATCCTGCTGCTTTCGCTACAAGGGAGAACCAGGTGTTCTTTTGGGGCTTTGAAAAGTGACAACGTTTTGTTAGCCTTCTACTTCTGGAACAAGAATCGGCGCAGTTATTTCTGATGATTTCCATAATTTTTTTCAGCTCCCATAAAACTGAAAAGTATTCATTTTTGAAGCCAAGTGACCACACAGGCTGGAGAGAAATGGCAAGACTGGAGAGATGAAGTCTTGAGGAGTGCTCAGGAAGGTCACCTGACCAGTATGCTCTGAATGGACAAACCAGCCCACATCCAGATCACGGATCACTTCAAGGAGTGGGTTCCCAGCAGAAAGCGGAGGAAGAACAATCCTTGGGGGAGGCTGCCTGAGGCCGGCAAACAAAGAACAAGCAGTTCTGACCCCAACAGGACTTTCAGCAGGTAGGGTAGGGACAAGCCAGCAAGGAGCTTCCACACTCCCACCCTTGGTTTTGGAAACCACTTCAGGTATGCACGGGAGTGGAAATGCCATCAAAAGTGAGACCTGAAAAAGCTGATCCAAGAGGCACTCGCTGGACAAATGAGGACCTCACAACGATCTGGTTCATTCACACAGACTCCTTTGGGGACCTGATTATTTGCTTTAATGGAGCAGCAGCTGACAATCGCTAGCAAGTCATCATTATGCCAAGTCTCTCTCAATCCAACCAGGCTGATTCGCTGCACCAGAGAGCATCAGAGCTCTATTTTTGCTTCACAGCGCTCATCTCCACTGGAAAATAGATCAACGTTGCCGTTTTTACCGTCTGTCAGGTCACACATGGCTCTGTAAGGCAGGGACCTCATCAGTGTTGCTGTCTGCTGTCTGCCTGGAACTTAGGGTACCACAGCGCACCTGGGGCATTGTGGTTGAATGAATGAAAACCCCCACTGACAACTTGATAAACAGAAGTCAGAACTCTAAGGTTAGGAGACCAATGAGTTACTAACGAGCCCCAATAAATACTCTCCACTTTTTAGCACTTCCAAAGCTCTTATACAGTGGGGGTACAAGTGCTTGGGATCCGCTAGATGGTCTGGAATGTCTCAAGGGGAGCGCTAATTCCATAGCAGAGCCAGAAGTCATTCTGACTGGAACCTAATGAGTAAGTGATCATATTCAATACATCCGGACGAAAGCAAATCGTGTCCATCAATTGATGACTCGGCTAACTTGTCCAGGAAACTGGTTGTGATGGGGGGGGGGGGGGAACTGATTCTGATAGAAATTCAAAATGCTTTAAACCGTAACAAAATTGCGTCTTCAGTGTCTAGATTCTGATACAGGGAACAAAACTGCGCTGTGACTTAAAAAAAAAAAAAAGTACAGACAGCAACATAAGCCCAGAGACCTGCCGTGTGCTATTAGCTGTACCAGGAGCAGCCCGGAAGCCGGGGTTACTGGAGCTACCCTCTCGGGGACACGCTGCCGGCGGGGACACAGGGAACTCGCTGAACCCCCAAGGTCTCTCGTAAGTTGCGTCCGGGGAAGGGGCTTGGAGTGCGGGCGCGATCCACCTCGCCCCATCCCCGGTGCGCGTCTCCAACAGCCAGAATAAAAACGTTTGCCGCCGACTCACTTCATATTTGCTTAGGCGAAAACTAAAATTAGTTTTCACTTCCTGAGCGCCGCGCCGGGCTGTGCCGGGAGGCGACCCGGCAAAGGGCGCCCGCCGCTGTCCGCGCACACTTCCGACCGCGTCCCGGGGACCGGCCCGTCCCCTCGCGGGTCCTCCCTCGGCCCCCGAGCCTGGCCGCCCGTCCCCACCCCCGCAGCCCGGCCCCGGAGCCCCACGGGGACCCGGTCACGGCCGCCCGGCGGGGCCCGCCCGGGATGCGGCGAGGGCAGGGCGAGGACCAGCCGCGGAGCGCCGGCCGCCCGGGACCGGGAAGCAAAGTCCGGGCAGCGGCCGCGACACCCCCGCGCCCCTGCCCCCGCCCCGGAGGCCCCGGTCCCCGCACCGACCTTCGGCCGTCGCGCGCCCGGGACCTGGCGCGGGGAGAAGCGGGGCCAAGCCCAGGCACCTGCCCGCGGCGCCCCGGCCTCGGTGCCGGCCGGTGGGGACGGCGGGGACGCTCGGCGGCGGCCCCCGCCCACCCCGCGGCCGGGCGCGGCGCTCCGGCCCGGCGGGCTCCGGGAGTCCCGACTTGTCCCGCGGCTCCCGCGACACGGGACCCGCCGCGCCCGGCACCCGGCCCGGCCCGCCGCGAGCGCGCACCCACCTCGAGCTCCGGGAGCCTCCGCCGTTGCCAGGCTGCTCGGCTCCGGCACCCCGCTCCGCCCCCTCCGGGCCCCGCCCCCCGCGCCCGCCCCGCCCCCGCCCGCCGCCCGCCGCCCGCCTCCCCGCCGCCATTGGCCGGCGCGCGTCACGTGGCGGGGCGGGGCCCCCGGGGAGTCCGGGGAGTCGCTCCGAGGGGCGGGGCTCTTGGCCGCGAAGGCTGCCGGGAAGCCCTCCTGGCCGGGTTTGGGCCCCGCGGGCCGCTGGGAATTGTAGTTCTCGTGGCGGGTGCGGACCGGGCAGGGCCGGGAGGCTAGCGGCCAGCGGGAAAGGGAAGTTGGAGCGAGAGGCGAGCGGAGACCGTTGGGAAGCGTAGTCCGGCTCCTCGGTGTTTTCCCCCATGAAGGGACAATCCGGAGGGGAAAGACTCTCTCGATAACCACCCTAGGGGCTGTCACGGAGCAGAGCTGGGACTCAGTCCCTTGGACTTGGCGGCGTGAAACTGAAGTCTACGGGAAGACGAAGTTTCGCCGACTCCGCCGCGGGATCTGCAGTTCGCAAACCCACCGACCAGCCGAGGTGTCTGTCCGTGGTGCTGTGCCAGCACATTTCCAAGAACTCAATCTTGCGACTCGATGATAGGCAACATTTCAGAACAAAGTTCCTTCTGTCCCGCGTTCCGAGGCAAAGAACCAGTGGAAGGGGGCGGGGGAGAGAGTGAAGAGAACACCCTGGGGAGAGAATTCAGTGTGTCATCAAAGAAAACACACTGAACTGGACACGTGGGAGAAAGTCTGTGCTGTTTCTTGTGCTGCCTAATCATTATGCATAAGCAGTTCAGGTAAATAGTCATCTAAAAACAAACAACTGTTTTTCCTGAAACCGTGTGTGCATATGTATCATCATGTAATAATAACATATAATCATGATCATGTCATTATATGTATGTTAAGTAACAAAGTCCATGAAGTCTCCTATTTCACCGACTCTTCAGCCACTTTTCTTAATATGCCTTCTCTCTCTCTCTCTCTCTCTCTCTCTCTCTCTGCTGGGGTGTCTATTCCCTGGTCAGGGGGAACTTCTTTCTGTTCCCCTGATGCATCGGTTCCTTTCTTCCAGGCAACCTTCCTTTCTCCTGGATTGGCCAAAGCTCTGGAAAGGCTGAGGGAATAGTATTTGCTCTGGGGCTTGGCAGAATCGAAACTACCCCTGGCAGAGCCCTGCCTGGCCCAGATGTCATCATTTGCTTATATGTCTGCCCCACCTCTCCTCTCCTTTCCTCCCCTGACTGTGAACTCCTTTGAGTCACGTTCACTTTTGTCCTGACTTTTAAAGAGTGCTTAGTAACTGCTCTTGATTGCATTCATTGCATGCCAGAGAGCCTCCCCTGGGGGCAACTGAATCACTCCGGAATCCCAAATTTGTGAGTCTTGGAGCAAGAGTGGAAGAGGTGCTTGGGTGGAGAGCCTTGCTGACAGTAGGCATAGTGTTCTAGGGGGAGGCTGGGCACACTGGCTCGGTGAAGAAAGACGACAGAGCGGGAACAGCCAGCATCTTAGGGAGGTTTTCTTAGTTGCCGTTTTCTCCAAAACCCGCGGCCTCAGCTCTAGGACATCATCGAAGCAGAAGGGCCTGTAGAAGGGAGATTGAGCAGCCCCGCCCTGGCCACAATGGTGGAGATTAAAAGAAGGAGCAGGGTGGAAATCACTTGGAAAACTATATAAAGTCGGAACACCTCATTTTGGAGCTGCACATCACAGTTGTACACGTATGTGTTGGGAGCTCTTCAGACTTCCCTGTCTCTCTCTCTCTCACACACACACACACACACACACATCACAGAGGCTCTGTGGAGAGATGAGCATCTCTCCCACCATATGCTCCTGGAAATTAGGAATGATAAAGCAATTCAAGTGACTTTAAGGTTGTTTGATCACTGAACTTTCTGGGTGGGACTTCCCGTGGATGCCCCACCCCCAAGTCATCCCGCTTTTGCTAAGGCACCTGCAGGTAGAACTCCTATCCTTGACAGCCCCATCCTGTTCTTCCAAGTGGGAGGAATTGAAGCAGGTAGGACAAGAGGGGCCTAGACCCTTGGCCCAGTACACCCTCCCTCTGCTGCCTCCCTTAGCCTCCTGGGTGAGAAGCAGGCCTAAGAAAGGAAATTGGACATCTCCTGCTCTCTCCCTTACTACTGACCATACATGCTTTCCTGCTAGTCCACTCACTTCCCATACCCATTCCTGCCTCTGGGAACTACGACCACTTTCTTTCTAGCAGTTTTGCTATCCAGAGTGCAGAGGGCAGAGCAGGAGAAAGGTGGACAAAGGAAGGAGAAGGAGCTTGAAGAAGGAAAAGGCTGATGACCTTTAAAAGCTACTGCAGGGGCTAGATTGATAGCACAGCAGGTAGGGTGTTTGCCTTGCACACGACTGACCCGGGTTTGATTCCCAGCATCCCATATGGTCCCCTGAGCACCACCAGGAGCAACTCCTGAGTGCAGAGCCAGGAGTAACCCCTGTGCATCGCCGGGTGTGACCTAAAAAGGAAAAAAAAGCTACTTCACCTCTCCAATCACTACGGTTCCCTCTGGAAAAGGATGGCTGGTTCCTCACACAGTTGGCCATGAGGGAATGTGCTGTGTAACATGTTAATACAGTGCTGTTCCTAGTCTGCCAGGATGGCTGCTTGGAGACAGAGGTGGGGCCAGAGACGAGCATCTCACCATTGGCACAAAGGTTCCTGGGCTCAAGTTATCGTTCTTCTTTAGTTAGGTGTCTGGCTTCTGAAAGTACATGTCTCTGGGGCCTCAGACCCCTCATCTGTGACATGGGTCTATTTGCATTTATTTTATAAGCTTGTTGTGAAGTCGAAGCACTTGAATGCCTACATCTAACTTCTGCTTCTGAGAGAACCACAAAGACTTTCTGCCTTTCTCCTCCCAACCCCAGCCCTTTATTTAAAAGCCGGGGAGGGGGGTCTCAACAGAATGGCACAGCCACGTTGGGAAAAAGTGACCCAGCAACACAGCTCCTGACTATCTTATCCAAGAGACTTAGGTCTTTACTCACCAGCAGACATGCATTCGAATATTCATAGGAACCCTTTAAAAATAATATTAAAAGGGTAAACAGTTCACGTTCTCATCAAATGGTGAGAGACTAAATGGTGCTAAGCCCATGCGAGGGAATACTACTCAGCAATAAAAAGGAAGAACTATGACTGCATGCCATGACAGGAAAGACTTGTGGAGGACTGAGGTCGGGGATGTGGGGAAGGGACTGACCTCAAAGGCACCCATTTGGAGGTGATGGTCATGGTCTACCCATTGATAGTTGTGGTGAGTTATGTGACTACACAATTGCCCAATCCTACTAAATGCCAAAAAGGAAATGGGTGAATTTCATTACAGATAACTCATACTTTAATAAAACTGAGTTTTGACTGGGACGTGGGAGGAAGCAGCTTCAGTTGCTTTTCCTGAGGCTGACCAGGATGATCTGTCTTTGGTTGCTCGCTTGCTTGCTTGGCTGGTTATTTCTGAGAGACTCCAGACCCTGAAGGGAACACGATGCTGAAATGTGCTCTACTTGAGTCAAAGATGTGGGCGAGAGTTTGAGTGGGGCTAGGAGACCCCACAGGAGAAGGCGTAGCCCTGCCACATGGGAGCAGGACAAGGAATGCTTACCTGGATGGAGGAAGTCTGGGGGCCGAGGGAGCCCCCCATACTGGTTCACACACCAGAAATATCCAAAACCTGGTCTCCGGGAACAGCCAGTGGTCGACAGGCAGTTGGGAGTCACCTCAGATGTGGGACTCGTGCTGCTTCTTCGCTGAGATTCCACTCCGACTTTCTCCGGGAACTCACTGTTGACTTTGGGGCCTCCTTGGCGACACCCTGCTGGTCTGTGAGGTCTGTTTTCCCAGGTGCTGGGGAGCAGAGCAAGCCAAGTAATGGGAGAAGAAAAAATACTCGCGCACACAGAGACGCGGAATCATTTGGTGCCGGGGCTGCTTAGGTCAGGAGCTAGGCGTGCAGGGAGGGAACGTCGCTATGACATCACAAGCCTTCCGGGGACCAGCCTGTGTGTCTGTCTTGTGAGTCAAATCCAAGGACTCAGCGATAGCTTTGGGGGTTAGTCCATCATCAATGCGTGGAGAAAGTTGTCCCACGCCCATGTCCTGGCAAAGCAAACCCACACAGATCCGAGGAAAGACTGACTCACAAGGAGAGCCCTTTCAGCCCCCAGTTAGGAATTTGATTAAGCACCTCTCTCTGTGAGTGCTTTTTGCATAAGTAAGCCCCACAAGGAACTGGTTCATGATATCTTCCAATGCATTTCCTCAAATCAGATTTTTAAACGTTATAGAGTTGCTGTTTGTTTACAACACCACAAGACTATAGGTGCACGTCTCACTGCACCCACCACCAAAATTTTGGTGCCATCCCACAGTCAAGAAGACCTCCTGTACTCAGTCATTCCCACCCCACTTCCTCTCCTCCTCTGATACTTTGAGTACACCATATTTTTCATAGTTTTCCTGCTAGTTAAAATTTACTTTTAAAAGGAATTTTATCTTTTGACTTGAAGGGGCTGGCCTGACTCATGCTAAGGGGAGTAATACTCTATTTCTCAATGCTGTGAGGTTTAGTAACGTCTCCATTGGAGACTTTGTTGTTACTGTGTTTGGCATATCGAATACTCTCGGTAGCTTGCCGGGCTCTCCAAGAGGAGCGGAGGAATCGAACTCGGAACGGCCATGTTGGCCGCTTGTAAGGCGAACGCCCTACTGCTGTGCTATCCACCCCAAGATTAAAATGGAAAGAGAATATATGAGAACAAGAATAAGAAAACATATGTAAAGGCTGAAATGTCAGCAAACAGTTGCTAAACCAGAATGAAACCTTGTTACTTATGAGTAGTTAATCAAGAACAAGATATTTTGATAATACAAAACCCAACACCATACTTTTTACAAGAAGTCAGTAAAGCTATAAAGACAAACATAATAAAG